ATACAGAAAGATGGAGGGGAACAAGACACACAAAATTGAGACACACATCCTGGGACAAACATAGAGCCAGAGCTTGCATTCAGTGATTGGTCCCTCACCCCTCATCCATCCCCCCCCCCCACCTTTAAATCATTCTCCTGCCCTCATGTTTAAGAAAACTGCCCAACTAGTTCCTCAAACTTTCCAGCAATCCTTTCATATACTTTTCCAAAACTCATCCTGCCGTGCCTACCTTAATTCAGTTATACAAATTAAAAAGCAATTTGTTTCGTTTTTGAGTGTAAATGCTAAAAATGAACATAACCTGACTCTCGTTTAGCTCCAAGTTTGTGTAAATAAATCCTGGGGCAGACCAAATATTTCCCCAGATATTTCAACACACTATTATGTTTGAACCATCATAAATCAAGTACTAAGATGCTCCAAATATAACAGTTTACTAAAATAGGTTACTTTAGAGTCTATAACACTTGCTATGAAACAATTTTGAAGCTATTAGTTGATAAGTGTATTGTAGGTTGAAATAGATGTATTTTGTATTCTGAAGTTGTATTTTGGGGGGTATTCACACATGCTACCAAAGGATGTTATATTAAGTTTAAGTGTTTTATGGTTTCATGCGATATGTGTGTATATCAGAACCACAGTACAAGTGGAACTCATACAAGTGGTACCTTTAAGGTATTCCACTTGGAAGGGGTTCCACTTGCAGAGGTTCATTTATTATCAACTTAATAGGTCCTCTGACTCTTACAGTGGTTTTCACCAGACTGTTTTTATTGTATCTTGAAGTTATTTCTGATTTGGAAACCTTGTATGTATTTGTGTGAAGCCAACAAAAAGGTACAGTCTTTCCCATTGTTATGTCACCACCAAGAAGATCTGAATGTCACCACTGAGAATGGTGAATGTCACCACTGAGAATGGTGAATGTCACCACTAAGAATGGTGAATGTCACCACTGAGAATGGTGAATGTCACCACTGAGAATGGTGAATGTCACCACTGAGAATGGTGAATGTCACGACTAAAAAGTGGTGACAATGTTATTTTGACCTATATTTGGCAAATCTTCTGAGTTAAATGGTTACACTTTAATAATTGCAACCAGGCGGTGACATTTTTCCATGCTGATGCTTTGTATTTTTGTTTGTCTACATAATATCTCACTGGGTTGGAATGTTTAAAAAACAAGAAACAATAAATAATTCAAAGCCACTTAGTGATAGAATTAACCAATAAAAATATACTAATTTTTGATTTGTACTTCCCTCTTGTTATTTCATCTGTTTAATACGTTGTTTCTATTTTTCCACCTGTTCCGTCTCTGTTGGAAATAGAAAGCTAAACATGACAGTGAAATGCAGAAAATGTTTTACTATTTTTGAATATCATTTGGCGAGCACATTAGCAGATTTGTTGCCAAGTTGTTGCTTACACACATGACATAGAAGTACTTTGAAAACATATGTGAGTTCTGAATGACCACCCTTCCTAATTTCACTCATTTCTCTCTAAAATTTGAATGAAGTGTCTGATTTTCTTGCATTTCTATACAATTTAGAGTATTGACTACATATTTGTTTACTTTATTTCTATTTGGTTCCTCTCCTTCGCACTGTATTTTCCATTTTAAAACAAGACCACGTTCATGAAATTGATATTATTTTCTCAGGTAAATGGAGTGTTCCTGGCTGAAAGATTTCACTAGATATAAAAGTAAAAGTTAATTCAAGAAGATACTGAATTTCTTTCCATTTGTGAATTGCTATAACTTTTAATCATTAATTTCTTTCTTTAATTCTTGCTTGTTCATTTTTTATGAAATCTGGTTAAAAACAGGACATTTTACAAAATAAGTTTAGTAAGAGTATTTTACAACATAATCATGTTTAGTTTGTAAAAATGATGGGTGATAATGAGTTAAATTATTTGTTTTGTCTATAAACCCTTGGGGCCTGTTGAAAATGTCCGTCTGCTCATGCTTATTTCACTCAATTTCTCTCTAAAATTTGAATGAAATGTCTAATAACCTTGCATTTCTGTATAATTTAGAGTGTTAACTACATGTCTGTTTGCTTTATTATTGCTGATTCTACTATTTTACACCCTATTTTTCATTTTGAAACACTAACCCATAAATAATTTTTCAAATAACATTGCATGATAAGTATAATTACAAGCTTATCAAAATCACTATATAAATGTTTCATCAGTAAAATGTCTACATATAAATGTATCTATCACTGTCATAGAACCATCACTTCCTTTGAACAATTAGCAAAAATAGAAAAATCTACTCTAAATTGTAATAAATTATGTAAAAATCCAAAGATTTGTTCAACTTTAGGTAGAAAATTAGTGAAACCCATGAAAAATCTTCGATTTGTGATATATGGGTTTCCCTGTAATATTTTTCCACTCCGGTAATTACTTTCAGAATTTCACAAGGGGGGTTCCTTCCCATGTGTCAATGTTTAAGCCATGTGACTCAAATTAACTAATCAGATAAGGCTAATGTTGAAAAGGATGCAAGCATTAATATGGTAAGGTGGGTGTATAGGTTCAAAAGTTTGATGTTATGGTAAGAATTCTTTAGGCTTCCTCCAAATATAGCAAAAGTATAAGGAGACAAGTAATTCCCTTTTGGGGATCAGTGCCTAGTTCATATTGATGAACCTTTCACTAAAACAAAATCAAATTATTGGAAAGTGTAATTGAAGACGATTTGAGTCTGAAACCTAGAACTCGTGTCCTGATCCTACAAAATATATTTAGTTATTGATATTCTACAAGTACATCTACTCTGAGTATTAAAGTCTAGTACACTAGTCAATATCAAATTACAGTAAAACATACCTAAGTGGAACACCTTTGGTACTTCTAAAAAGTCATCATGAGAAATCATGGCCTTCTATTGGCTTCACACTAGTATTGGTTGAAGAGGAAAGATGTGATGAGTATCAGAATGCTAAAAAGTATTCATCTTTGGGGGTATCCCACTTAACAGAGGTTCATTTAACATTAAGTCAGTGACGGTCTTGGGACTCTGAAAAGTGTTCCACTTACAGATGTGTTCCGCATCTAGAGGTGTTCCACTTAACAGGTTTCACTGTATTGCAAAGGGTAGATTACATAAATGTCTGTTGAGTATCTATTATATATAAATGGTGTTCTATTTATGGGTGGCATTAATTTCGGTAAAGCAGACTATCAAATCTTAGGAATTCCATCATTCAAAATCTATCTGATTAAGTCCCCTTGCAACACTCCATATGATATGATCACCCAGAAATGAAATATAACGGTCGTGTTGTTAAATGCAAAATAGAGTATAATAGAGTGGAATCAGCAAGGAATAAAGTAAACAGGCATGTAGTGAACACTCTAAATTGTATAGAAATTCAAGAAAATCAGACACTTTATTCAAATTTTAGAGAGAAATGGAGTGAAATTAGCATGAGCAGACGGATGTAGCTGCCAGATTAGAACTAGTTCCAGGAGCTTATATGATATGATTTCAACAGTCTAGGATTAGATTATATACTTGGATTAAGATTAGGATTATGGATTAGGCTTATCCATTTCTTCTATAATAACTGTTGCACAAAGCAGAGTTCCTTTGAGGATTTTCTTATCAACTTTGTTTTAAATTCTTGCTCCAAAAATTTGGTCAAAATTGATCAAACTTTGTGAATTGCTCATGAGTTTTCTCATTTTCATGTATACAAGGTGCAAATAGATTTCATGTAGGTGTGAACCCATCCAAAATGTCAAGTGGGCAATGCACTCATTTGCTTCATCCCTTGAGAGATCACTGCTAAGTTCATATATGCAGTTACAGATACAGTCTCATATACAGACCCAGAGAATATGGTCAGTTATTAGGCTGTAGTTTATGCACCCCCCCCCCCCCCCACATACCCATTTTCCACTCTCGTGTTGATTCTGTTGACGTATATGGTAGATCGGTGGTTGAGGGGGGGGGTAGTGGCAGACTTTATGACAGGCAATTTACTTGGTTATTTTTGCATGAAATTTATGCCTACATGTATTTCTCATTCTCATAGACCATAGGAAAAGACCATTAACTAGATGTAGAATATAACTAGCCCATACTTTCACATTTACAGTTTCACATATAGCAAGAGAGATAGATCCCATGTTCATGACATGGACCAATTACCCAAATTGGTATTGATTGACTCATCCCAATTTGAGGGGTTATGTAGATTCGATAGAGAGAATATCTATTTCAATAGTTTCATAAGAGACTTCTGTAGCAGTAATTGTCACTAGCCTCTCAGATCCAGTGCATACTTTTAGATGTTAAAGAGAGAATCAGATCTAGTAAGCAGCCTAACAAAAAATTGTTTCAATTTTAGAATATTTCTGGCTCATGTCATTCCTTTTCATGCCTGTTTTCTAAAAATAGCCAAAGTGCACACTTTATTTCAATAAAACTCGAGATTTTTACAATAATGTATTACTTTTCTATAAGAATGGTTACCATTCTTATTATTTGGGAGAATTTAAACATTTTTCACCCATTTTTGCAGTTTGAATCCATTATAACTTCACCAATTGATACATCGTGAATCTTTTGTGAGATCGTGTATTTGAGATTGTAAGGAATAGATTGGTAGGTCAATTGTACATGTTGCTTGTAATTTTGTCACCCCCATAGATCTGATTCTGCCTTTAATGTGTTTCTTTAGTTTTGCTTGAAGACCATGGTGATCTCCCAAGCATTAAAGCAAGTGGGTGCTGTACCCATTTGAGATTTTAATAGTAGTCTTCTACCCACCTGAGAATCCATTAGCACCCACTTGAAAATCAGTAAAATCATGAAAAATACAAACCAGAATATTTTGACCAAAGTTGGTCTTAATAGTGAAAATAAGAATTTTGTACCAACTTGACGTGTTCAGATATAAGAGAGGTGTTTGGATAGTTTTTGCTGTATATTTGATATTTTAGGAATTTTATTTTATTTTCAGGTCCACTGGCTGGAACAGCAGGTAGTTAAACGAAGAGTAAAGAGGGATGTATTTTTTAATGACCCCAAGTGGCCAAAGCAGTGGTACCTGGTGAGTGCTGTCCATTTATCAATTAAAATCACTTTCATGTATATACATGTGTTGTACAGTCATGTACTATGCATGTTGTACAGGTCCCACTGGCTGATCCAGGACTAACAAGGGGGGGTACATTTCAAGTGAGCAACAATTCTTTTTGATAATTTGGCCTAAAAAGTCACAAAAATGCCAAGATATGCCTAAAAATATTGCCCCTAAAAATTATCTGGGCCTGTACAGGTCAGAACAATGAAAAGATTTTTTTTAACCTTTACCATGCTGCCTTAATTCAGCAAATATATCCCACGCAACTGGCTTATTTTTCAAAGAGTGATATAACTGGACTAAATAATTAATATCTCAATAACTACTGAATGAATCTGGATAAAATTTTCACAAAGGGAAGATACAGTGGCCTGGCTCATGAAAAAAATGTTCTCATGAATTTTTTCCTACATTAACACGACTGGGCATAAATATACCATGAATACTCCTCCGGAATCCGCCGCTCCGCCTCTTCGTCTGGTCAGAATCCAAATCTGAATTTGCAGCGATCGAATGTTCAATTTTTCAATTCAGAAAATATTCTAGTTTCTATTTTCGATGACCGTTATCGGCTTCCAAGAGCCTAAAGAGCTCGAAATCGTAATTCATTTCCTCCACATTTTCGTTGTGATCGTATTTGTCCACCATTTTGTACGATTCGTTTACTAAAAACGACTAAAACACTGTTTAAATTGTTGAATTGAGAATTATTTTTCGAAATATCGCCATTTCTAGGTCAACAGGAAGTCATGTTAGGCACTGAATAAATCGGGCAATCTAATTGGACAATACGAATGGCGCGAAAAAGTAAAGTTTTTAAAAGTTTGAAATCGGGCGTACGGGTCCGCCGGCAGTTGTGAGAGACATTTTAGTCTCGGCGGACGAGTCCGCCGGCAGCACGCTAAAGGTTAAATTGCCCCTTTGTGTGATTTCTCCCTACTGATTTCTTTCTATACTAAATATCTACCATATATCTTCATCAGATGAAGTTCTTTGGGGGAGGGGTGGTTTCTATTGAAAGGTCAGATTTTCTTATACCAGTACCTTATATCTGTTATGTATGATACATTTTAGAATTTTCATTTGAAAGTGACTTTTTGGCTTTAATGTAGAATTTCTCATGAAATAGATGGAAAATTATCTCCAACGGTGACATTTCATTTTATACAAGATGCTTGCTGACATTGTTGATACTTACTAAGATTGTTGACCTCTTTAGAAGTAAACAGGTTAGATTTTTTACTTCTGATTTTGTTGGAGAAAATAAGTGAATCATGTAAAATATAACAACAAACAAGTCACTATGATAACAATAACAACAAAGAAAAGAACATTCAACATACACTCCAATCCCAAAAATTGGAATTCCAAACTTTGTTATTAGTAAGCAATGTGCAAAAGCCTGTTTTATAGTGTATGCGTTTGGTGAAGTTCAAAAATTCATAAAATCCAGAATGTATTTTGCCGTTTAGTAATTCAGTCACTTGTCATCCTTATAACTGAGCTACCTTGTACATTATGGCTCAAATCTTAATTGAGGTGGAGTGACTTTTTCTCATCAGCCCTTAGCATAGGAGTTGATCCTGTGTTTCAAGAAAACTGGTTCTGCATGCAGCAATGAAATGAAACTAATATAGGTGAGCCAAACAAGTTTATGAGGAATGACGGTTTTCCAAACTTTTTGAGGGTAGTGTATAAGTCACTGACATCTCTGTAAGATTAAAAGATTAGCATGAGCTCAAGGAAATATTGATTCAGAAATGAGACAGTTCATTGTCACTCGGCTCCTATTCACCCTTTAAAATGTTTCTCTTGCTTCCCATTTGAACCCTCTAAAAGGACAAGTCTCTGTTAGGAGAACACTCTCCTGGGCTAATAATTTTTTATGAAAAATATAGAAATATCACCCAAATTAAATTATGGATATTCAAAAGCGGACATTTAAATCTACAATATGTAAAAATATCAAAATTGTCCAAAGCAGGCGTAATGCGCAGTAGACTGATGAACTTTGTTCTCCAAACTGAGACTAGTCTTTTGAATATGTGTTTTCCGATTGAAATTCTATCATTCCTATATAATTTAGAGAATTCCCTACATATACTTAAGGAATAAAGACCCTAGATTTTATGATTTATGGCGTAATATATGACTGATTGAGGTCTGTGGCAAAGGCCAGAATAAAATTTGAGGTCATATATTTGACGTAAATCATAAAATAGAGGTCTTTGTTACGATAAACACACAAGAAACACGACGATTTGCATTTATAAATTTTATCGGTCATACATACTCCAATATAGACTGGCATAAATCAATTGTTCTAGCTATTGTGACGTCACGTAAGATATTAGAATACCTTATTACTTACTCATTCTTATGGTTCCTCTCTAACATTTGTGTGTCTGATTTTCTTGTATTTTCTTATATTTTGCATTGTATTTTCTTAATTTTTTATTGTATTTTCTTATATTTTGTATTGTATTTTCTTATATTTTGTATTGTATTTTCTTATATTTTGTATTGGCTACATGGTCGTTTACATTATTGTTATTCCTTTATGATTCATCTCTTTTTACTGGATTTTTAGTTAGAGCACAATTGTCAGAGGATTTAGAGTGGCTTATCACTAATAACAATAATGAAAATATAATGAGAAATCCTGTTATGAATCCCTAAAGTATAAGTCAATAATGTATTCATTTACAGAATATCCAAGAAGAAAATGTTGGTGTGGTGTGATCATGTTCTTAAAGTCAAAATAAAATCAAATAGAGGGGAATTAGCAAGGAATAATGTAAACAGGCATGTAGTTAGCATTCTAAATTGAATAGAAATGCAACACTTCATTCAAATTTTAGAGAGAAATGAGAGGAAATAGTTAGGAATAAAGTAAACAGGCATGTAGTTAACACTCTAAATTGTATAGAAATGCAAGAAAATCAAATACTTCATTCAAATTTTAGAGAGAAATGAGTGGAATCAGCAAGGAATTAAGTAAACAGCCATGTAGGTAACACTCTAAATTGTACATAAGTATGAGAAAATGAGATAGTTTAATCAAATTCTAGAGTGAACTAGAAGGAAATAATGTCAGCAGACGGACAATAGTAATACGTTTTATGCTCCATGGGAATGTAATAATTCACAATTTACTCATAAGACTTAAGGAAACCTATTCAAGAACTAGCTCTAATTAAGGGAAATGTCACCTTGCCTGTTACCATTCTCTCCTTCAAAAGGGCATTGTCCTCTATGACACTCATGGCATCTTATTTCTTTGAACAAATCAAATATAGCTCATGCTGTACAACTCGTTAAACATTCTGAAACTCATTACATCGATTATAATTATAGGACAACCTATGATTTTGAGGAATGTCATTTTTATCTACGAGGTGATATTGATATCTGCATGAGAGAGCGAAGCAAATGAGTGTATATATCAATATCACCAATTATTAAAATGATATTCTGAAAAAAATAGGATGTCCTTATTATCCTACACTTGCTAGTAGTGTACTAAATGTTTAATATCATTGAAAATTAAATTTAATGTCAAATAGTTCAATTTGGCGGGGAATCAACAAGCGGAGTTTATCATCACGATCCTCCGCATATAGATTTTCCGGAGTATATCGTCACAATATCCTCCGCTTATTGGTTTTCCGGAATTTATCGTAGCGATATCCTCCAGTTATGTATTTAGCCAATAGATATAAATTTTTATGAAACTAGAAAGTCATCCTTTACTTGATTATTATAAATAGACTTCATTTAGATGACTTCAAAAATGATTTTATAAGCAATGAAATGGGAGGAAATAAGTAATCAATTTCAATATGAAATACAGAAATTGTTTGGTGAACAGGATTCTAATTGCGTAATGTCTGACGTCTTTCAAATTACCGCAAACATCAAAGGATCTGAGATAATGGAGAAAAATTGGCCTTATAGTCTTTAATTAGATAAACCTTCCATTTTATTTAAAGAACAATCCAAGTGATTTATTCAAGTCATTTCTATCTCTGGTTGAGTTTATTTAAGAAATATGGACCGAAAAGCAGGGGTAATATTGTCGAATACACCCTGCAGCCCTAGGCACAAATGTTTTCTGTACCCTGAATGACCAAGGGAGTGAGGGGTTCGAAAGCTTTTGTGCCTAGCCCTAAGGGGTGTATTTGACAGTATTACCCCTGCTCTGAGGTCAATATTACGAAAAATAAAAAATAAAAATTCACCAGAATGTTTCGATGGTCCGCCATTACTACGACCCACCGTTATGACGTCAAACATTACACGTATTACCAGGGGTATTGATCGCGAATATACCCCGGGTGAAGTGTTGACTTTGTTTACAGTTTATAGAAGGCGTGAATACAGTCATGTTCGAATAAATGTTAATTCTATAAGAACCCAAATAATTTTAGTTTCGCTGCTAGCCTGGTTTGTATTATCATTACAGGGAGTGTATTTAAATTCTGATAACAAGTTATCAATGAAAACAAAATATACGGAGATCTGTTTACTCAAACACCTTCCTAATATGAACACCTCTCAATATGAACACTTTTTAATATTGGATTTTCCATTGATTTCCATGTTATCTGAGCTTTTAATAGAAACACTTATAGCATTTTATAGTACTCAGGATTCAGTTTATATTGAGTGAATGATTATATTTATTATAAACCAAAAAGGTTTTTATTAATCGTAATTGGTTGATCAATATGGTGTCTAGTTTAAAGGAATATTCCTTGCCAGACCCTTTCTCTCTTGATATGGTAGCTATAATCATATATATAGTTTCCATATTTAGCAAAACATGGGAAAATGTTTGAATATGGTCAATATTGATCATTTAAAAATCTAGTGCTTATTTCCAGTGAGCTGCCATCTTTTAAGATTTCTTGCAGGAAGTGATGTCATCAACTCTCAACTTCTATGACCTTGCCCATAACAGTATA